ATACCTGTTCCCCTACACATCTAATAATTTTTTTCTGCGCTTTGATCACTTTGTCAGCTAGCGCAGATGTTCCCCAGAAACAAAGACCGTATCTCAGTTTTGATTCAGCTAAAGCGTGATATAATTGTATTAGTTGACCTCTATGGTCACAGTATATCCTATCCATTACCGACAGGTGGATTCATGGTTATCCGAACAAGAAATTCCTCAAGATATCATGGGTATTCCAAACGATGCTCATATGTTTTGGAAGTAGATGCCCATTACCTTGAAGGGCGCCTTGCACCAAATTCTTGAGCGGCGTACGCAGAATCTGGAGGAACAAATTCCTCATGAGTAGGACATTTGAGCCGGTTCTAAGCCTCTCCCCACCACTATGACGTATAAATTGCTTTGTTGTTGTTTAGTGAAGTCAAGGCGATGTGACCTTGAAGTGTCTGGTGCATGGATCGTTCAGATTTTTTTTTCATATGAGATTTTGTGTGTATGTGTGTGAGAGAATGCACGGTACAGGGTTTCATCATGTGCTTGTCTACGTACAAACATACGTCTGCATACTTCGAAGATTCTCCAAGTAATGAATGTTCCATCGGTGTGAGCCCACCAAGTTAGTAATGGTGTGACGTCACAGCAGCAGCAACCGTTCAACGGTAAGAGAGCAAGATGTTCACTCCACGACGTGTGGCAGAGTAATGCGTATTCATCGGTCTGCCCTCACGTCTCTCGATGCAGTGAAAACTGTGACGTAACGCATCGCTCTAGCGTCGCTATCGATGGTGACACGCAGGCGACCGAGGACTGTGCTAACGTCTGCCCTCTCCGAGAGCGCAACGACCACTGCCTGTTCGTATTGACATCTGTTATCGCATCCAGTTGGGAGGTGGGCTTGCCTGTGACGTCAGGCATCTCTAGTGGGTAGCAATGTGAACCTTTCATGGTTTCATGGTGGGGGTGACTCGCGCTGTTCAACATAAAAGAAATGCCTGGCACACTATGAAATCAGTAGACGAATATATCTGCAGCAGT